TATGTGCGTAGGGTATGTGGGAGGGGTATGTGCGAAGGGTATGTGGGAGGGGTATGTGCGAAAGGGTATGTGGGAGGGATACGTGGGGGCAACGTGTATGACGTGAAGTGGTTACCCTCACTTATTTCTACATATATATATATATATATATATGAAATATATGTAGTGGAGATCCGACATGAGGACGAGACCGTATCAATCTCACATGCCCCTCGAGTTTTTCTTATTCACTTCAATATTAACATGTATTATTAATGGAATGTTTAAATGAATTATATGAGATAATGTAAGACTATAGACGATACTGAAATTATTAATCAATTTCCGCCTATTTTGATATATTTTAAAAATGCACGAATAGTTCATCATCAATTTTTGTTTTTAAACAGACCTCAGTTCGATGGGAAACCCTGYCCAGGTTCTGCCATTGGTGATTGGAAAACGTGTAATAAGCAGGTCCGTAATGTTTCTGATGTATTCTTAGTAATTTAAATGATTATTAAAAAGTGAATATCCACAATGACTTTCGATCATTAGTCGTGCAATCGTCGAAAAGAATCGAGATAAAAAAACGTTTATCAATTATTATATAGGCTGAACATTCTCTTGGTGCCTGATATACGTCAAATGCGACATCTGCTACGACCTCTCATGTTCTCCTAGTCCACAAACAGGTCCTTTTTTTCTTCGTCTTCTTCTTTTTATTTATTTATTTAYTCACTTTTTTTTATTTTCATCCTGACCGTTAAGCGGCTGTCACGAGGAAGAGCGTAGCGGGATAAAAAGAATTGGTAGTGTAGTAGTGTAAAAAAGGAGAAGTAGTGTAATTTCATCATAGAACTTCACTAGGTCTCGTGTTAAAATTACTTATTTGCAGAGTCACAGTACACTAAAACATAGTGGCGCTTGGATGTGGKAARMSARGTTGATTACTGCTCATGCTCAGATGGAGATATCTTCATCAATTATTCATTTTTGATATTTTTTTTATTTATTTCATGTTTATTGTAGTTTCTTAGGTTTGGGTTTTAGAAGTCATTTAAAAAACTCGTAGTTCGTGTTTTATGTTCTCAATTCTTAGTTAGTTGATAACTAAATCTTATTTAGCACTACATAGTTAAGAATTGTTTCATGCTTATGTGACTTGCACTCTACGTTAGGTCCAAATGAGCATCAGGATCTCACGCACTAGTAAATATGACCTTCCATGACAAACTCTTTTGTTTTAAACCTTTCTCGGTAAAAAGGAATACAAAAGAGTTTGGGTATGCTACCTTGAGGCATCACCTCATGTAAGCAGAGCCATAACCCCACAACGATACCGGTACTTTTTTTTTCTTTGCTTGGGNATTCGACTGGTTTCTGACTAGTTTCTGGTAAGCTCCTACTCCTCCCTTGTACAAATCAAAGCTCGATTCTGATTGGCTAACATCAGTATTCAGGATTCCTGTGTGAACAGCTTTGATCGCGGAAACTAGTCGGGATACCTTTGTGAATCACTGATGACGTCAAAAGAAACTAGTTCACTCACCTCGCGATAGTCCGCTGTCAGACAGACACACAGATTCTTGGCTCAAGATTGCCTTTCTTTGGCAAAAAGTTTCGATGGGTCCCCTCCCACAAGACAAAAATAGCTAATATTCCAGTTATTAAATGTGGGTTTCCTGTGGCAAGATTCTCAAAATGGCGGCTAGAACGATCGTATTGCAAGCTAAACGGTAAAATACTCTCTAATTCTTTGCCGTTTGTGTAATTTTATTTGAAATGTCAACTATTTTTATTATATCTTTTGCGAAAATATCTCACTAGTTTCCGGAAACTAGGTGAACCAGTCTAAATCCGCCCCTGTCATGAGTTTTATAATGCCATTTATAGCGGAGATACMAACGATTTTATGTTCGGATGACCACAAACAAACGCTTGTAAATTTGGTCTTGTTCCTTTCGTTATGAACAAGACCAAATTTACAAGCGTTTGTATGTGGTCACCCGCCGACCATAAAATCGCTTGTATCTCCGCTACAAATGACACTAAGACACTCATATTTAGCAAGAAAGCATTAAAAATGATGCACTTTCAGAATATGGAGGCCAAATTTCAAAACTCAAACATTTTCGTTTTGTGACGTCATCACTTTAGTAGTCTTTAGTTTAGCAGCGCTACACGCAAATAAAACTATATAATGAACAATGCCATATCCTGTATTGTATAAAACCTGACAAAGCTAAAGCTTTTCGGTACAATATGTTTAACTGTCTAGATTATCTTTGTACAATACAGACAGAGAACAATGACCGCTGCTGTATAGTGCATTCCAAGACCGCAATGCAGTGTTGCTACTAAACTACATGTTAGCTGCCTACTGACAATTCTAAACTTTATTGCTCTCTATTTAAGTTTTTGACTGTACCGAGTTAGTATAGTCACGATCAACAATGCGGTCTTGTGGAATATACACTATCTTCAGTATTAAAGGTTTTATGAATAGTAATCGTAGAGTACTAGATGAAAGTTAGTCGCCATGTCTTGACATTGTTGTTATATTGTATTCTATACAGGATTGCCCTAGTGGCAGCGACCATTATCGGTTATATCAGTGTAAAAAGAAGTCATCAAAATACACCAGTTATTATATTAGAGGTAAGGTATATTAATATATCAACAGAACGTAAATACACAACTGTAAAATCTTTACGGCTTGAATTTCTTAAATCTTTCACCATAAGCCGATGTTTGTAATCTGGAGTTACCGAGAACGCTTTTTGCATCCTAAAGCCCCGTTTACACTGGCGATATTTGCTGCGATTTTTGTAGTATTTTGGTCCTAGAACTTTGAACTTGTAAACTTTTGTTTCAGTACACTGAGATGAGCTAACTTTACGTCTTCTTTAAAGGATGTTATATTTTTGGAAATCGCTTGAAAAGTCGACGAAAAAATCGCCTGTGTGAACGTTCCCTGAGAGAATCCTTTGGATAGTAGCAGTACTAAAACATTTCTTTTGTGCCTCGGCCTACCATAAAACAGAGAACACTATGTTTTCGTTAGTAAAAAGGAAATTTAAGACGGCTATCACTCTCGGTGCATGTTCGTACTTGGTTCGGATCAATGTTTACGGGAAATAGTTTTCTGACTCGCTTATACCAATTATTTCGGCCACTGACCCGGAGTCCGCAAAGTTCCTTCCGTAGTCCATCCAAAGTGGGTTCGGGATTCCACCACATTTATCACAAAAGGTTGCACTGACTCGGATTCCTGATTGCAAATGATTGGATTACGGATTCTGTGTCATGCTACTAAATGATTTCAAGAATGTCAGTCGTTGTTCCTATTTTTTCCTGCGAAAATACGATTTGTTGACCCACCTCTTCTAGTCTTCTCGTAGTCTTTCAGTTACGCAATACTTTCTTTTTTCTGTTTGATGTAAATCAAGACCATCATGAAATTGAGTAGTATATGTAGTATAGAAATGCCGGTTCTGCGCCATAATTTCAGAGGTTCGTGAGCTTTTCGCCCTGAGCCCGTTAAGGTAAGAGAGGAATTAGCATGTATTCTGAATTCTTTATGATTCATTATGAGCTTGTTGGTTTTGCTTGTATTTGATTTTTCAAGTCTTACCTTAACAGGCTCAGGGCGACAACCTCACAAACTTCTTAAATTATGGCGCAGCAGAACCGGCATTGCAGATCAGAAAAGAAAGAGTTTGCATAATTTAGTCRTGATGTGAGGATTTGATGCACAACCTTCTATGTATGGGCAAGGTTAATCGAAAAGTCTTGGATCCAGTCTTTGATTGAGTGAATGATAATATTTTTTTTCTGAACAAATTAATATTTGATATTAGTGAGAAGCTAGATACCTGTTTTCGGTTCAATGCTATTCACAATAAATTCAATTTTTTTCAATTTAGCATTGGATAATCCAAAAGTTATAAAGCAAGTAACATCAAGTTATATGTATAAGTCACTCAAAGAAAATTTTATGTATTTTATTATRTGTCATATAAACCGTAAAATGTACAAAGTGTATTTTTTTCAAGGTGGTGCAGGATGTTTTTTGGCATGTTCTGATGATGGTTCAACGTTCACTATAGAAGGCCAAGTGGCTGATGGCACAAAATATAGTTCTGACCCGTTAGTACATGATCTTTGCATCGCCGGAAAACTTGTGGTGAGTTCTCCCATTCAATGTTTCCATGAGCCCATGAAGCCTTTCTTTAGGCTTTGAAAGGCACTCCTAACAAATACTTGTAGATTTTGATTGACGAAAGACATGACATGATCGATAGTKTAATTCCACAACTTGATATTAAAACGTTACATATATTAATAGCTTCCTCCAAACTTTCCTTATCAGGAAACTGGTTGTGACAATGAGATTGATTCTGGTGCCATACTTGACCGTTGTAAAAAGTGTCTTGGCGATGGCTCAACGTGTAAAGATAAAAAATCTACGACGTTTATATGGAAAACTGCTCCTTACGGGGACTGCAGCGAATCTTGTGCTCAAGGTACAATTATAAATTAGTACGGCGATACTTACGAACTTAACTCCCCATATTAACGTGYATTTGAGTTTTKCCATCCCGACACCAAGAAAGAAAGAGCTAAGAGCAGTTGACCCCATCAGGAGCAACTTGATTAACATTCATGAATGCTGCAATTAATTTCAGAAACGAGCTTTAGTTGACAGTGTATTTACTGTTSATTCAGTTTCACGTGCGGCCATTGCGAATTGTCTTAACGATGCGACACCGRCTCCTATGATCTCGAGGTTAAAAATAGAATGAATGCGGTTGTCATGAAGGTTGCAAAGCCCAGAATGGGGATAAATTCCCTTACCTCATTCTCTCGTACCGTCACTGATTCTTGCCTTAATTTGCCGATTATCATGCATATGTGGTCGTCCAATCATCATATTGTCCTGCAGACTGGGATATTTTTTATCTTTTTTGACTGAACACATCTGATAATGACGGAATTCTCTCTACACGCTTAGTCCAAAGGGTTTCATTTTTGTTGTTTTTAGGTTTCAAGTCTCAAAATGTGAAGTGTGTGAGGAAGGACGACGAAACTGGAGTCAGCAGAAAATTCTGTGACTTGGGAAACAAACCGGATAACAAAGTACCGTGTAACACACAACCATGCAAAGCCAAGTAAGTATAATGCATGCATGCCAWGCCCGATGATATAGGTTTGGTGCATGTTATCGGTAAGAGAAGTCGATTTCCTCCAGTCATTTTGAAAGGTCATTGTCCTTTTGCTAAAGTAAGACGACCGTTGTGATATGTGCAGTGATAGATATCTGTTAATAATGTCTGTGTAGGTATCAAAGAAAGTCTCTGTTATTTCACTCTTGCCGATGATCTTCCTTTGCTGATGCAAAGGCGCGGCTACCTTTCAAGAMGATGCAGGGAATTGAGGCTAAAATTGTTTGRTTATTATTTGTAGGTGGGAGCCTGAGCTTTGGGGTCAATGTTCTAAGAGATGCGGTGGCGGTGAAAGAAAACGCCTCGTTCCTTGTACACAGAAAGTTGCTCCTGATATTTWCAGGAATGTCGAGTATTACTACTGCAACATGACTTCTCGCCCYCATGGAAAYGAATCTTGTAACAATATTCCATGCGGGCCGTCATGGTCGACCGGAGATTGGTCCAAGGTAAGTCTTTGGCATGCAATCCATTATCATTCACAGATATTTCAGTAGGCCACGTACTGTAATCTAGCAATGTCTTCTGTTTTTATCATCTCGATGTATGTATCTCTYTGCAGTGTGTTGACGGACGTTCAGAAAGAGAAATCCAATGTACTGACATCATGGCCGATGGAAAGGTTGTACACCTCAATGACACCATGTGTAACGCTGTTGGAATAGATCTGTCACCAGAGACTGTCAAGAATTGCACAGTAACCGCGGCCAGCAGTGATCATATCACACCATGCGCAGTAAACTATATTTTCCTTCTATTRATTTGTATTCTGTGTTYCCTTCTTTCGTGACGTATGCATGGCAGTCTGATATCACGTCGTTCATACGTCATCACAACATTTARAGGTCCACTTGCACCCAGGAACCTTTGCGCAATCGTTTGTTAGTCGGACTAGCCGAAGGCGGTCCGACTTTAAATTTACCTTTTAGCCTATCAATCTATCTATCTATGTATTATGTCGCGTTTGGACCACCGGAAGTTAAGAATTTAATAATTAACTATTGGGTTGGCTGTTGTACGAATATCGTTAGTAAATGTTATATGCTACTTGGCTTTTATATGACAAAAAAAACTATTCGTTTACAAATGTGGTATCTGTGATCTCATCGGAATGCGTCTGTCTAGGCATTAGAAGTACGCGCATGTGCAGATCGCATAGAGTTTCGAATTGTATGCTTACAAAACTGAATCAATATCCTTTCTAGTGTTAGACAGTCTTGTGGGGGCAAAGATTTCAAATTAGRACAAGAAGAAACTTTGTTTATCAATAACAGAAAGGCGAATTTAATGATTTTATAGGCATCTTTTTCCTTGTAAAGTTTTTGTTTTCTTTGCCTGAGAGGTCAACGTTTTAGATGATATCATATGATCATGATATCGCTTAGCGAGACATTTGTCTGAGCGTAGTTGATTTTATCAGTCAAAGCAAGCCAGCGTTAATTACATGACCTTTTAGGTCAAGTGTATTTAAAAGTCTCAATAAATTTTGCATATTTTGAACTAGACGCTCTTATTAGACCGTGAGTTAGACCGTGGAAAAAAAGTTAAGAAATATTTTTATCCATGTAATATTTCACAAGCAGCTAGTCCGACTTCACGCTCCCAGAGCGTCTAGTTTTGTTTTAAAACACGTTCTGTTGAAAGTTCTTTTCTGATTGGTTGAAAAAAAATGGCGAGAAAATCGCGCAAATGTTCTCGGATGCAAGTGGCCAGCATGACGTGATCACCCAATAGTTGTATATTTACATCATATGATAACAAATCACAGCAAATCAGTCATCTTTCAACCTATCATAAGTGTTTTACGTAATCCAGTAACTTTTGGGACATTTGAATGTTTCACCGAATCTGTCTCAAGAGTACACTTAAACATCCAGTTGCTTAAKGTAACTGTCTTCCAACGCGAATATAATTATTAGCATTAGATCAAATCTAAAGCTAAATATGCACGTTTCCAAGATTAATATATTGGTTTATTTTAGTAGAAGAGACCTAATTTATTAGTCAGTAGAGTCATAGCTAACCTGAAGAAATCATTTTTCCTTTCATTGTGATTTCTGCGTATTGTAYTGGTCAATATTATCTGAGTACTATAATTCAACAAGTTCCTGGTTGTACAAACCAAAGTACTGGCCGACTTAGATATTTCGTTTTAGTGAMCAYGACTACAAAAGAATTGTAGTCGAGGTTCACGTCTGCAATTCTTTTGTACGTGGTTCCTCGATCAAAATATCTAAAGTCGACTATTGGTCATCTCGTATGCAWGTTTTATCTAAGATAACCAACGTCAAAATTATTTAAAAAGAGCGAAATTTCTTAAGTAAAGTTTTTACTTTCAACGACGAAGCAAAAATGTCAATCACGCTCACACGCTTTTTGGGCGAATTATGTAACAATGTGAAGTGTGGTTAAGAATTTATTGACTGTTTAAAGTTGCGTGTCTTCACATATAGATGCTGCTGAAAACCACTATAAATGATTTTTTTCGGTATCACGTGACCAAATTGGCATACCCCGATTGGTGTTATCTCGTGCATATTATTAAAATGAGTTTTATTAGAGAATTATCAAGAAAATGTAGCGTGTCATGATTATTATTGCGTTAAAGCCCGTTTACACTTAAGAGTTTTGAATATGCTTGAAATTTAGCTGCAACTCGTGGCGACAATCGCAGGGCTGTTTACAAGTATTATTTGAGGTGCGCAAGAACAAAGTAGCGATTGTCGCGCGACAATCGTGCTRCAGAAATCGTGTAAACGGGCTTTAGCGTCATCGGAGCGATCCTCCGTCCTCTGTGAAAAAGTAAAAGTTTTATACTGAATTTTATACTTGAATTTTATACTTGAATTATAGACAAGTAGAGTGAGGTAAAAAAACCGTGAAACAGAAAGTACACTAATACACCTCAGCGCTGATAGTTAAATTTTTGTTTCAAAATTTTGTTTCACGGGTTTAATGAGCTCACTCTAAAAGCTAGTAACTATATGATTTTGTTTTCATACGCGACGGAATATCGTCATGATGACCKATTTTAAATAATTACATTAAATACACTATCTTCCCAGATGTTATTGCTTGTAATGACCTGTGTAAGGCTAGTTGTATTTATGTTTTTCACAAAAGTGCAAGAATTTAAATATGATGTTTTATAGATTACACAATAGATTATTTATCAATAAACACAATAATATTACTTGTGATTGTAAATCATAGAATAACTGAAACAAAACTGTATCAACTTCAATTGATTCAGTGTCAATGTTCAACGAATTAATCTTTACAATGTCGTCCACTGGGCCTTTCCTTTCAAACCGCCCGGGGAATCGCGGACAAATGACTCCGGTATAGAGTGGAGTATACTAGTCTGCCTATCACAGACTTTTTTTTTTATTATAGCAAGCAAGTTTATAACGTGTGCCGTCATTCACTGGTTGAAATGAGGTTCGCACAACCCCCCCCCCCCCCCCCCCCCCCCCCCCCCCCCCTATAGACTGGGAATCCAGTTGAATGCAAATATTTGAAGACATGTTAAGTTCTGCTCGCTTAAATGCCTGATTTTCTGGATTTTCGGATTCAATTTCAAAAAAAAATTATCTATATTTCGTTTCATTTTCTTTTGAACAAATCTGTTGATGACATGCATGCATTTGTTGCTGTTCTTGTCAATGTTTGTTTGTAGTATATAATCATTTTTTATATATAAAACGGTTCAATTTTAAAGTTCTGTTGATATTTTTTCATTAGAAATCAACTACAAAATCAAAAAGACGCATTCGAGGACTGCATCCCATSCCAACTAGTACAGGAACACGAAAGATACCGAAAAATCGGGCGATCACCGGGTAGGAAAGGAAAAATTAAAAACAAGTTTCGCCACAGCGATCACACACTTTCGAAGTCGATAGCATAGTGGCTTGAGCCTCTTACGATGCAATAGCCACAAATATTTCAAGAAAATCAATGCAAGTGATATCGCCGCGAGCCTATATCTAACTGCTGGTCAGCGCACTGATGCGGGTTCCATGTTGGGAAACTGAAAGCACTTAAAAAAGCACTATAAAATAGATGTATATGAGAATGGACAGCACAAAAAGGAGTCAAAGGATTGACCCTTTTGATGCAGCGAGTGAATAAATTGCGTCTTTTGGACGACTGGATGTTTCCGCAAGAGACAAGACCTCTTTTGTGATTTACTCTCTCATCTTGCCTTGCAACTAGACAATACAGAGCACAATCAACCGATGCTACGCAGATGATGCCACGCCCATTGACCGTTATGCACCTGAACAACAGACCCGAACACAGCGCGCGGTTTCCTTTTTTCTTGGTAATGAAAGCCGAAATTACTGATCAAAAAAGCTGACGTTGATTGGTGACTTTCCTTGCAGGCAGTACAATGATGAGAATGGACAGCACAAAAGACCTTTTTCATGCAGCGAGTGAATAATTGCGTCTTTTGGACGACTGGATGTTTCCGCAAGAGACAAGACCCTTTTGTGATGTACTCTCTCATATTAAAAAATAATAGTTCTTAATTTTTGCTACATCAAGTTTTTATGATTAAAGACAAAAAAATATTTTAGCGTGAAATCGGAGGTTTTCAGGACGGAACCAGCTTTCTCCAGTTCATTTCACACTGGCTTTTGCTTTGCTTGATTCTGGAATAAACGCAAGACAATTTATTGTCATAAAAAACAGCGGGTTATCCGCCTTGAAATGGATCGGCAGGAGTATTCAGCGAAAATCTTTGATTTTGTGAATAAGATGAAACAAAACTGGATTTGAAAAAAATTTAATAAAATAAATAAGGGAGAGTTACATTTGTTTTATCATATTAGACTTAATGTTCCGCTTTAAGCCAGTTGTTTTCTAAAGTAGCCTTGTGTGTCTCTAGAACAGAAGGCCATTGTATTCTATAAGTGTTTTTACTACTTAGTGTCACCCTCTCTATAAATAATGACTATAATTACTAAAAGTGACATTTGCTGCTTTGTTTGCTTCAGTCAAACAAGAGAATGCGTAATAAGTACATTATGAGTATTATTGCGCATGCTCTTATATGATTGCAGAGACCATCCCACATGGCTTTGTGCTTCTTGTGTTAAATGCCATACAGATCGATCGGGAAGTTATTTGGTGACAATGTTCAGTAATACTCAGTAGAAATCCTGCTTTCTTTATCATCCTTAGTTTAAAAGCAATAAAACTTGGTAAAGATGAAGTCATCAAAGAGACGGACACCATGAATACTGGTTCTGCGTGATATTTGCAGCCCGTTCTCTTAGAAACTACTAGTTTATAATTATATTACACTAATTTATATTAAAAAAATATAATGCATGTACACTTATTATGAAAACCAGCTTCCATTATCAATGTGTAGCTTTGCAGAAAAAACGTGTTGTACTATGGTCATAGGTCTGGGAATCTGTTAGGATCTTCCTGTGAATAGGATAACAATAACCCGATTAAATACTGTCTTAAAGAAAGCTGGTCAAAAACAAATTTCACACAATTTTTAATTGGATGTCCTCTTATTTACACACTCTGTTGACGTCATAAAATGTTTAAAACAAGTGGATCCACAAGCGCAGCGAGAAAGTACGTCAATAAGAGAACATACAACTCATCAAAACCAAGCGCAGCGAGAAAGTACGTCAATAAGAGAACGTACAACTCATCAAAACCGAGCGCAATTTGCTAAATTTATCATTAGCATAATTATTCAGCGGTTGGGCTGCAATGTATTTTTAATAACTATAAATCTATTAATCTAATATATAAACAAAACAAACCTTGTAATCACGTGGAATAAAAAACATCGAAGTAGGAATATCATTACAATATTTAAAATCTTGAAAGGTTATCTTGGCAGTAATAGTGGGAAATACTGGGATTTCTGTAAATCATACAAACAAAATTAGTTCGTGAAGATCATTTCTACAAGCTTTCGCTAAAACTGCATTTTCAAATCGTATTGAACTGTGASGAATTCTTATACTTGCATGGAAGAATTAAAGTTCAAATACCTTTTTTATAATTAAGCGTAAAATATTCGTGTTCCCAGAAGTCAAGGGTAGATCCAGGAGCACATGGTCGCGACTCTCCTGGTCACCTGTCATAGACGAGCTCAAGTAACCTTAAAATTATGTTCTCCATAAAGATAAGGTATGCCGAAAAAATGCGACAGGTAGTTTCTTTGACTACACCTGAAATTCCGCCCTCCCTGGATCGCTCTTGGAAAATGACGAGAGCAGAGACCGTCAGAGACGGCGGAGAACACGAGTTCGATTGCTTCTCTTCACCTCTTAACGATGGCGAGTCTTCTGTTTATATTATTTCTGTTCGATCCCGAGGACCCATTAGATAAGAAAGCATAACCCTTTACACCGCAAGGAACCGCCGCACCCTTTATTTTCATTGGAATACAATACTCGCGCTCGTCTCTACYAAGTTCACAGCTAATTCGGGCGGGATAAACATTTGTCGAGTTATAAAAATGCATTATAGCTACAAACTAGTGAAAACCTCAATTAGGACTGAGTATAGTTAGTAGGTATGGAGGAACTGAAAGTTTACTCAAGAGCGAAAAAACATGTTAAACTAACGACAYACTGGGCTAGACTTAGTCTCCTTCACAGCCTACAGGAAGCCCGACAAAAGGGTAGACTGCGAGGATAGAATTAATCGCAAAGAAATTCCATTACTCACCAATTCGCACAGGGAAACCAGGAGGCAACTTCATGGCTACGAATTCTTTTAACTTATTGAAGTGTTTGAACGGTGCAATCACTTCCAGAACATTCAGGACACTAAAAACAACAGATAGATGCAATTACCAAATAATAATATACTAATAAATAGAGTTGCTACACTTTGTCCACTGAAATAGTTTGTTTTTAGTAAAAGGCCGCCTTGTTTTGATTGTTTTCCTTGCATAAGTGTTTCACAATYAATTGATCAAAGGTGTCATTTACTTACACGTCCAATGAYAGAGGGAACTCTTCGCTCTGTAAAGTGAAAGAAAACCATTGAATTAAAACTGTTTTGAGTGTCGTTGATTGACACGTTTCATTCGCTTGTCAATGTATGCCGAGCGTTGAGTCACACGAGCAACATTCAACCTAGACGACTCGTGTGCTTGGTCTGGTTTTTGGGAGTGTTTTATGTTTTGCAATGTTTAGARCAGGGTGTTCGAAGCAGAATGGAATTATAGCTAGAAGGTGCAGAACGAGGAGACCAAACGTTAATTTGAGTTAACATCATTACCATAGCAACATAGGCCTTGACCGGTTTCTTCTCTTCCTTCATGACTAACGGTCGACCAAGGTGAGGGAGACTGGCGACAAACATAAAAAGTTATATTTTTKCTCAGCAGAAGATATTGTACATGATGCTGAGACTCATGTTATATTTTCTTGTGCCACCTAATAAAAAAGCGAAGCACAGATAGTTCAACGTCGCACTTTTCGGATGACGTCACAGTTCACGTGATGTGACGTCATCTAAAGTCCTYCGGGTAAGCTTCCCTAGTAAGAATATTTAGCTTCCGCCGCCCCTGATTATCGTCTTTTCTCCCGCAATCTTTGATATGAGAAACTTCTGTTATGACTAATTTGGTCTGTGGCGAGGAAAAAACGAACAAAATAAGAGGTGATAGTCATGACAGGTGAGYCAACTCTTATTTATTTTTTTAATGCCAATTATTATTTTTTCCTTTCTTTTTCATTTTTTCTTTAATTTTATTATTCTTAGTAGAGTGGTTTTCATTAACCCGTGAAACACACTTAAACGTATTTATCGCTATTACACTTTGGCTTTTTTGTTGTTTTTTTTTGTCTCTACGCAACTATTACGATCTATTACACTCTATTTATTACACTTTGTTTCACGGGTTTATAAAAACCACTCTACTATGTATTGTCTCGTTAATTTGTATTATTTATATGTCCTTTTCTGTACTTATGTTAATTAAATGTTACCTTTGTTATATTTTGTAAAGCTTACTATAAATAAATATAAAAAAAATTATGAACAAAAAATGTGATGTGATAGGAAAAATGATCTAGTAGTCGTCAAAGAATTTCAGTGCGCCAAATAGTAAAAGAAGTCKTCTTCGATTCGATTCGCTTTCCGTTAGCTATCTCTCGTGGTCATCTGTAATAGTTTTTATTCCTATTTCCATGATACTTACTTTTGAGTGTCGTATCGTACATATTCAGACCATCCTATTTCAGGYTTTGGCGGTGGGTGTAAAGAGTCTCGTCTTGACATCTTTAATTCCACAAATAATTCACAGTCAATAACCATGATACACTAGCAAGGCATATAACAATTGGGAAAACAATAACGACGGAGTAAATCAGCGTTGAAAGGAGAAAATAAGAAAAACCTTTCTCATTTTYCTTTTCATTTTTCCCGAGTCCGTTTTCGGAACAGGAACATAGCACAGTCCATTAGCCAATCAGAATACTGCATTTGTGATTGTCAACAGTTTGATGAATTATTCAGAAGAAAACGTCACGAAGACAGTCATTTATTTATCGCCAATGAAGAAACGGGGATGTAAACATACAACTGTATATAYACTGTATGACAGGCGAATTCAGTCGTGGTTGCAGGARRTGCGTTTCCCCATCTGAATCACACTTKAATGCTTTCCCTTATTTTGTTATATAAATAGTAGATTTCTATTGGGTTAACTTACTGGGTGTTAGGATTATTTCATTATTTTACCTCGGGTATATTTTCTATGAGGTTCCCTCCTTTGCTAATGCTTTCCATAAGTGCCTACAAAACAACAAGTCACAAAATTAACCACARCCTTCTCTGCTGGAAAACAAACACCGTGCTATACCTTGTTTTTCACCAAGTCCTCTTCGGTTAAATGTTCTCTCCTTTGAAAACAAAACAAACTGAAGTTAGCAAAAACAAATATCAGACACAAACCACACGTTCCTAGCCGAAGGAAGCAGGAGAAAAAGTGCAGGGAAGAAAGAAGGGAACRCCTGCCAGCACTGCATCGAAGCGAGACAACGTTTGAGAGTGCAATGATACTTTCACACCTACAGTCAATTATTTACAGGTATCTATCATTGCACGCTCCACGAGCRTCTCGCTTTGATGCAAAGGCACGGCTACATTTCAAGACGGCACAGAAATAGACTATTGGTATATTAAATTTCCTTTATCGGACCTCTCTAACTGTATTGTTTTTTTGTTTTGTTTTTGTTTCTATTCAGTATTGACTATCGTATTTTGTTTGGTCCTAGTCTCAYAAGTCTTATTCGACTTTAATAACACTTACCTCTTTTTCGAGATGAGCATCATTCCATTCACACAGTAGATRTCTGACAGATAGGGACCGACCATTTCCTGTATAAAGCCAGGAACACATTTATAGATATATAACATGGACGTTCTATACGGTAAATTGAGTACCTGTCTATCTGCTCGCCAAAACCAACCAGCTTGAGATTTGGCAAATGTGATGGGTTTGGTCGACATGTACACTGACACAATATCACTACATAACAATAGACATATGTTAGTATTAAAACAGTTAAACACATTTATCATATCAGTGAAACACTAAAGGAGAAGTTCTAGGTCCATCCTAGGTTTCTAGGACATCACAAACACTGACAATTTAACAGCAAGGATGATACTGGGCCTTATAAAACGAATATTTTCCTATTCACTATGGCAACGAVAACAAACCTGCTCATTAGTAAATCTACTTCTTCTTCGATTTCTGATTCAGTTTCCTGGAAAACAAGAATTATAAATCAGACTCATGCATTACAGTTGGTCTTTCAATCATTTCAAACAGGTGCCATGTCTATCAACTATGTTGGGTTTAGACTGATATCCCCCTCTAAGCATACAGTTAATAGAGGGGACACCTATATTTTAAAACTATGCTCTAAGTAAACTACATGGGTAAACAAAAAATGTAATACCAAACCTCAGTTCTTAGTCGTTGAAAAACCTTCCTTTCGTTATCGAGGACCGCAAACGAGTGCTTTCCTAGAAATCAAGAAGGTTACTGAATACTGATATCATTCAATTTGTACTGGTGAACAACTAACGCTGTTTTGGAATTGGAAACAGTAAATTAAACGAAAAGCGTTTCTCAGAAGCATAGGACCAGAAACAACWAGATGTTGGCTGTGTCGTTCTTAAAAGAACAATGACACTTTTTGACTTTTTTTTTTCTTCTTTTGGGTTTTGAGCAAGCCGGGATTACACCCCATCCGAATGAAGGCTTCATAGTCGTATAATGTCATGATATAGTGGTCAATATACGAACATGATCGACATATTATTTTTATGGTTCGCCAAAATGCAGGAAGATACCCACACGGTTTAGTCGAATAGTGGTGGAGGGTGGGGGCTGAGGTGGGGATTCTTTTCTGTCCCTTAAGTGCGACTTAAATGTGGAGCAATATGTTWACAGTCATTATCCGAAAAAAAGGCGATTTTCTCACCATTTTCAGGCAACAAAGACAACAACATATCTAATTAATGCTTCCCACCTGAGAGAGAACACTAATTTCCCCCCATGTGTAGCTTACCTTTAGCATCTCCGTTAAAAATAAAAGTAACATCCCCTCGCTGCCACTTCATATCCGTGAAATCGACCAGTGTACTGTCCATTCTGAAAYAAAAAAAAATTGAATGGATTTTACGAAAACATGAAATGTAAAAGTTTACAATGTGTATACATATGAAAGATTTTCCTACCATAGAAATTAAAGGCGCTGAATCAGCGCATGTGCCTACTACGATTGTATGCAGATTGTAAATATGGTGCTTTAAGTCTATGGAACACAAATATTKAKCCTCRCACAGYCTTYATTTTGGTACTGTACTGTTGATGAGCCGAGATGACAACAACAACAACAACAAAAAATAAAAGAAAGTGCAGAATATCGTCATGTATTTTTATTAATAACAATACTAAGGCACTTTTTATTGGATACAAAGTAATAAAGTGCGAACAATATCTCCATGAAACATGAAATAAGATCTAAAATAATAGTTTAAGTCACCATTTTGGACAATGGAAGTTCTAACTAGGCATTGTTTGATCTTGTTTCTTTAATAGAATACATTCATCAGAGTTTTGTTTGTGTTTTGTTTGTTCATGCGTGAAGTTTGAGAACCAGTATTTGGTTGAGCTTTATCTGACTGTTAGGAGCAATTTCTTCTGAAAGAAAGACCTAAAACTTTTGAATACTAATAGAACTTTTCATTACACCGAATATTGGGATATGAAAGCTTTGACAAAGAAGAACTAAGGCAAAATATACTCACAAAAGCAAACGTACCTCGCAAACGTTTACGGCAGTGAATTACCACGAGAAATTTTCACGAACTGTTCGTAAAACCGTAGAAATGATTGAATTTTCGGCGGTCATTCGCACTAAGTTATATGTTCTGCCGATCGCTTCCGAGGGCTTCCTGTGTTTATGGGTCTTCCGAGGGGGTATTGATTGAATTTTGACGTCATTCTATTGTTACTTACTCATTTGCATTAGACACGATAGCAAAGTGTCTACTACTTCGTAGTAGGCACAAAAACGGTTTAGAATTCCAACATACCACTCCATATCTTACGAAGAGTTTTCTTTTCATGGCAAAACACTCGCACCATTAACAATACACTGATTGAGGTTATAATTCACGATGATTAGAGTCGGTAATTATTATTTTAAGGAAAGGGAAAAAAGACGACTGTTCGTTTTGAGCTTATTAAATACCTGATAGAACATCCCTTCTTGTATATTTTACAAGTATCTGATGGTAGAATTCTTGACAGCAAAGGAACTGTAAAGAAATTTACCTAGTAAACATCATATAAAAGACAATCGTTCACAGATGTGCTATGTTTCAGGGTCCGGCATCCGATTGGCTTCTTCGGAAATTTCAGTTTTCTTTGAAAGGATGTAAATCGTTCACTATTGATCTGATCGACACGAAATTTGGTTTTATACAGGTTGTATCGCACTTATACCCAGTCTCCCACGGTATGAAATCGGACAATGTATCTTGAAAGAACCAGCGCCATCAATAGTAACATCCAGATGATGCACACAAACTCTACTTACCCCAGCTTTGGAAATCCCAMGCTATTTCTACATAAAAATCACCAAGCTGAAACAGAGATACAAAAATACAGGAATACTGTTGAAAAATTACATTAGCATATAAAATCGCCCAAACAMAAAGAAAAGGCACTAATTTGAATAGCACAGCATCAACRCAATGCAACRGCTGCAGTACTGATAACTACCTCAAGAAGGATTTGACTTCAACTATAACTTTARACGCGAACAATAGTCGGACGTTTTTTAACAAAAATTCATTCCATCTTGGGGATCGGCTGAGGTTTCAATGGATGCGATAGATGACCCCACATTTTTTGTTTGTCGCCTACATATATTCGTGGCCTCTGACAAGTACCGGAATGTTGTTTGAGTACGGAATTGAATAAGATGGCTTTGAAGTACCGAAATCTTMCTGCTGGTATTCGCTGACCACCTTAGGTTGTACATGCAAAAACTACCCCTTTCTTGTTTTCKGATGGCGTTTGTTGTATGGTAATAGTAGGTTCATTGAATGGATTTGCGTGTTGTATTCAACAATGAATATGACATTCCATTTTAAGTACAAGGAAGTAATTAATGCAATTCATACTATAAATCCATCCCCTGATGACAACATGTAGACAATATTTACCTCCTTMAGTGCATTTATCAATTGTGGTCGTCTCTCATTKATTCCCTCTCGACTTTGTCCTTTTAGTTTCTTTAAAATTGAGGTGACTGTAAATATGCAACATTATGTGGTTAGCTGACAAAATACTARCACTATCACAGCATTATTAACCTTCCCTCTATATTTCTACGTACATACAACACAGATGGGAAGTGAAAAAAGGAAAGAGGAGGAAATGACTGAATGGCCACATAAGATGGRAGGAGGGGGAGAGAATAAAAAATGGAAAGAAATGAAAGAAGTGGAATGGTGCAAGAAAGAAAGAAATTGGGGGTTTGAGAAACAGAAAAAACGATGAAGAGGGTCATGAAGGTAACATACATAATAGTCTAGTCATAGAATCTTGTAAATAAGGTATGTATCATACAAAGACTATCACACACAGACCTCACATACTGCACAAATACTGATGCAAACATTGCTGTGTGAATGTCCCWATGATAGGGTGTWATTAATCTCTTTTTTAGTGATACACATGTTGAATTCATTTGAGTATAAAGTAAAATATGGCTTACTAATTTGTCTGTCTCCATAACTGATMGCTTCTGCCAGTGGACTCCAACCCAGGTTGTTTTTTATTTTCGTTGTTGCACCATGAGCCAGTAATAAATAAACACATTCTGACATAAAACAGCAACAATAATGATAAGCTTTTTTTAGTGTATTGTACATGAACATCCTACACGAAATAGTATTTTATTTTATCATATAACTATCTATGAAATACCTAGTATATCTCTCCATTTTGTAAAGTTGAAATTTTCACTATTTTCACACATTTGCAGTTTCTCTTATATAGTGGAAGTAAGAAAAAAGCTATTTTACAACATAATTTGCTTTCATATGCAATGCTATGATAAATAGAATATTACATGGTCGCTTGGAGATACGAATTTTATCTTCGAGTGATGAAGAGATCTCTCACGAGTGAGCGTAGCGTAGCACGCCCATGTAATATCCTCTATATATGAAATATAGTGTGATACCAGCAGGCAATATCAAAATTGTAAAATTGATATCACCACTRCRAACAGTGTTGATATCATTGTTATCAACACAGTAGTATCAACCAATGAGATTTCATTGTTTTTGTGGGCTTATGTAAATTATGTGTAGAGGCAAGAGGACACTCCAAAAGCATCTCRCTCGCATTACGGCTGAAAATCTGAAAACAAGGTCAACATTCTTCCATTCTTCTTGTTGTCAATTTAAGTGATGCCTTCCTTAAGCAGCAAGAAAATCCTAATACATATCAATTCCAACTTTTCAAGAATTTTATCAGGCATTGAATCCACAACACAGCTCAACGCTCTTCAATGAACTCGAAAATGGAAATGATAAAGCAAGAAGCTGTTCTTTTCCTTCTCAGCAATTTCCTTCTTAAGGCGCTAACTCGAGCTTAGCCACCAATAAAAGATGTAACTACGGACATTATATGTACTGTTTAACAATCCTTGCCCTCATGAATCGATGCTTCTCCCACATTAGTGTAGTGGTATACAAATTTGCTTTTATATGTAACTGATAAACAGAATATTACATGGCCAACTTGTGGATACAAATTTTATCTTCTCGTATTGATATTATCTCTCACTTGCTCCCTGAGCTCACTCGTTAATATCAACACTCAATGATAAAATCCRTATCCACGCACAACCATGTAATGTCCTCTATATATTGACCACTTTATTATATCCATCAACTGAAATTAGTTCCACTAAGGAATTGTTTATTGGTGATGAAGGTTTACTATACAGCATTACAATACAAGAGAAAACATTGTAACAAAACTAAACTGAACATACCTCGTCTACCAAGTAACACAGCAATATGAAGGGGTGTGTTTCCTGTTGGTTTAATACACAATTCTTAGTTTAGTTCAACAAGATACATGTTCATGATAATATGAATATCATTGMTCTTATTCTAAACAGTTCTTCTTAAGTACTGAAAAACAAAATTCACAAGAATGTTTTTAAGACATATCAATTTGAAATCATTCTTGTCTATCCCATAGAAAATACAAGGCCTCTTATCAAATTGCATAAAGACTTTGAAATCCCACCTAGTACTCACTGTCTGCCMTGAAATATTACACGACTTACATAATTATATAAAGACCATTASAACACTATTGCAAAAACTGGGTACAAAAACTATGCTTTTGAGCCAATACAATTTCTTTCTAATCCACTCAAATAATTGTATTATAAACCATTACAATTGGCTAATTGTTATACACAGGTCCAAACATTGTTTTGGAGGATTTCAGAAAAGTTTTAAAAGTTCAACCACATGTAACAGAGTTCTTTTTGAAATATTTGTTAGAAATTTTTTTTTTTAATTTTTTCAAAGAGACTAGCGAGCAGCACTACGGATGAGCTTGTAAAACTTTTTATTTCTCCGAYGCATTTCGTCTAACTCTGTAGACTTCTTCAGGGAGTTTTACAATAAAGCACAAAGGTCCTGTATATAAGGCTAACTATCCTTACGTATAGGTTTTAGCTGGAAAAGGTGTTGGGTGCTAATCGTCCTTCATGGCAGCATGGGTGCTGAATTGCGAAACACGCAGCTCGGCGACGCGCTCTCAAGTCGAAGTGCTATATTACAGACACATTTTACAGACACTTACACATAGGCGTGCTGCCGGCTAGGCGCTTCCTTTACATAGCAACGAACGACTGAACTCGGAGCACAGCAGATAGTAATGGTTCGTTTTAACTGAGGGAGGAAAAAAYGGAAAGATTTATTTCCTGTCCTGTTAACGTTAGTAATTTTTACACATTCACGCTTCCTTATGCTATATTGAAAAACTCCAAAGAAGTCTACAGAGTTAGACGAAACACGTCGGAGAAATATAAAAGTTTTACAAGCTCATCCGTAGTTCTGCTCACTGGTCTCTTTGAAAAATTTTTTTTTTTAATTTAAAAAAAACATTGCAGTAACGCAATAACATTTTATGATTGACATGTGCTCGCCATTAACTTAATGGGAGGACATTGCGGGAAAAATATTTAGCTTGAGTTGATGTTGTACAGCTTGACCAGTTTCAGTTAGAACCTGCATCAAGAATTTTGATTTTTTTTGAAGAGGCCGCTCAAAGAGGTAGTGGTTACACTGATTTGTTCAAGTATCTGGCAAAAGGAAAGAGAGCATTTTTCACAAATCAAACTATTTTTCACATATTTTGACAGGTTTGTAAATTTTTCTATAACTTTTTTCATATTCCACAATTACTTACACATTTGTTTGTCATTTTCAAAACAAATKTTGCATCAGATTTTCAACACAGTCATCACCATACTCTAGAGACAACCCAACACTAGAAAAGTCTCAGTTCGTCTCAGTTTTAAAATCAAATCATAGGCCTTTACTAAATTTTGAAGCAAACACATTGCCATTCCCCTACATACAACACACTACTTCTCATGTTGTAAAGTATACAAATCATCCATCACAGAAAATCAAGATTTAACCCCCTATTAAGAATAGGATGCATTTCTCATAACTATTATAAATAATATGTAATTACAACACAAACTATAAAAATTGGATTGCATGTGCCAAGAGCAAAGCATTATATACAACATGAAATCAAATTTCAAGTGAAAGTAAAACCACATTTAATATACTAATAGACTTGAGTTTTATGATTCAACTGCATTATTCTTAAAATAATTAGAGACTCTATATACATATCATTTAATATTCGCGAAAAAAAACAAATACTAATCAAATAGCACTTAAAACTTAAACACCTAAGGGATTGTTTACACCRYCATCTATACAGTGTTYATGTACATGAACATGCGATAYCCATTGGCCAGGAAAATCAACCAAAATAAGATTTGATTTTATCTAACTATCAAAAACATCTACATGTTTAAAAGGAGAAATGAACAATACAACGTTTTAATTGAACGGATAGATTACATTCGCGTTGAATTATAATAAGCTATTAATGAAATAAGCGTAATATATGCAACAAGCTTAGCTACAAACCAAATATCACCATAATTCAAATTTTCATGAATGATCAATTTTAAAAGCAGCTTATTCGGAAATTTGACAAGTTAAATCATAGAAATAATAGCCTTATTATTGTATAGTTTGGAGTCTGACTTAAAACAGTAAGACGTAAAGCTTACACATCGACTTCGCCGAGTCAACGAAAGAATATAAGGGTTAATAGCGATCCCATACCATGAATATCTTGTTCTTCGATATCACAGGACCGCAAACAAGACGAAACTTTTCTTAGATTGCCCTCAAATACTGCCTTGTGAAGCGGAAAGTCTTCAGCCGTTTTGTCGGCCATTTTGATTCTGACGCTTCAAAGCAAACATTACGTGACGTCACGCCAGGAATAGATCTTTAGATCTGACTGGGGGGATTGGGAGGGAGGTGTTGCAGCCCAGCTAAATTAATGGAACCTCTGAAGGCAAATCAAAGTTGCTTTTCATTTTTATTAGTTCATACCATAACTATTCAAATTGCTTGAAACGACTTGGTGTTACTCTGTTGTATTGATATGMGCACGTTGAGAGATGGAGAACACAAGAGACTCCAATCACACTGTACCAGGTAGGCCCTCAATTCACGAAAGACGTACCCTGCGAGCAGAGGAATTTTTCCACTATCTACGAAAGGAAAAACATAAAAAGGTCATATTCGGATATTAATTTTATAAATAACAAACTTAGCATAATCGGGAACTTATTTTATCTATAAACAGAGGATTTTTCAAAGGATATTTTCTATTTTCTAATGAAAAAATTAGGTCAAACACACCATCGTTTAATAGTACTATAGCTGCGATAGTTTTCCGCGAACAAAAAACACGTTATACGATAGACGCGATTTTTACAGAGCGTCAATCAATGTCATAGATAACATCCAATCATATCATCGTTCCATGCGCATGCTCAACAGGAATTAACCGTCCCGTGGCAGAGGTATTTTTCCTTTCTTTGTAGAAGGAGGTGGAACAATCCTCTGCTCGCAGGGTACGAAAGACGCCGAGGCGATATTTTCGCGTTTAAGAATAACACCACGATCCAGAAATTTTCWAAAGGGGAGCACGTCGTCAAAAATGGCGGGAAATTTCCCGGGAATTTGCCTTGCTTTATCAACTTAAAAATCTTCAATCGAAAATGCAAATGATAAATATAAAATGACGACAATCAAATATGTTTTGAGGTTTATTTTATTTTTCGGTGTTTATTTTATTGTCTTTTTTATGCAATGTTTCAAGGAAAAAAAGTTTTTTTTGTTTCACAAAATGGGAGGGGGTAGCAAACCTAAATCAGCGCTCCTGCCTCATTATGTCCGATGCTCGATATATTAGATATATAGAGGATATTGCATGGGCGCGSCGCGATACGGATTTTATCCGTCTAGTGCTGAATCTCTCACGAGTGAGCGTAGAGAGTTTCAACACGAGAAGATAAAATTCATATCTCCAAGCGACCATGTAATATTCTGTTTATCAGTTACATATGAAAGCARATATGTATATCACTGCACTAATGTGAGAGAAGCATCGATTGATGGAACTGAAGGCAAGGGTCGTAAAACAGTACATATAATGTCCGTGGTTATCTTTGGAAATTGCCGAAGGAAAAAAACAGCCTAGCCCAAGGCTCTCTCTGTTCGCAATTAGCGTGACGTCACAGAAAAAACTTTGACGATCTTTTAAAAAAGTTTTAGTTTGTGAAAACAGAAAAATAATTAAATAAAAGTAAAATTKATGCATCGTATGGACAGTGTTTGTTTGTTTTGTACTTATTGAGCGATTGAGTAGAACAAAGACAAGGAATTACCATGAGCCCCCTGTATTCCAGTGTCATCGGTTGTCGATCAATTCACCCTTAAAAGTAGCATGTAAAAGAAGTATGTTAATAGTTTGTGTGTATAGAAATGCTAATTCCTAGTGACATTTGTCACTTAAACTCGACACAAAAAGCAGACAAGACGCATTCAACCGTTGCTTATATCCTCTGGTCCATTTGATACCCCCACTAGGTAAGGTCAGTTATATTAACCCGCTATCGAAGTATCGTCTTACCCTTTGCGTGTCTACAGTTACACGGTGAACCAATTCAGGCTGTGATTCGATTTAAAAAGACAACGGATAAAACGTTCTTACAACAATTCAATGTATTGGTAGAAAGAATCATCAAAGTCAAAGCATACAAGTGATCAGTGAGTATTGTGGTTCTGTTCGGGATATGAGCACTCATTTCCATGTTAAAACACAAAATGACGTGTTGTAAAACTGCAGCTGTGTGTTGTAAACGAGAGACAGAAATGTCCTAACAGTCCTCAGGAGGGCATTTCAATGTAAAAGTTGATTTGTGAGTTTCAAGCACTACGAACACGGTTTGTCTTTGATGTCCTTTTGATTTTTAGTACATGAGATTCGACAATAACACTGAATATCTATTGTTGTACAAACATTCCAACAGTGAAGAGTAATTAGACTTGCACATATGATTATCGAAACGTTTTCGGTCTAATATCGGACAACTCTGTTTCTTTCTTCTTCAAATCGCATGATCTTTATTTTTCATCATGGAGATCTAGGTTGTATTYCGCCAAAGAAGGACTAAAACCTTTGACCCTACATTCTCAGACGAAATAATTCASTATAAGAACCCACATTGTCCATGAAGTACCACAACAACATGTTTATTGTATTTCGTGAAGCCGACTTCGCGGYAMTAGTCTTGTGYTGTTTATAAGATCACGCGAAATCAATTATGATATAGGTGCAGGTTGTATTGTTGATAGAATCTTTCAATGATGTACTTTTCTTCTAAAGATCAAATTGAAAGAATTGAATGGTTCAGTGTGCAATTGACGAGTGTTTGTTTTCCGCGACAGAAGTCTGTAAAGTATTCTCTTTAGTYGTTTCCTGAATCACTTCGACCAAGCATAGGCCGTTTATCCTTMATTTCATTTATAGAATTTAGTTTACTGATATTTTTCAAATTGATTCTTTTATAAATTCCACTGATCATAATTTCAAAGTTTACATTCCAAAAAGAGACTCGAAACAATTGCGTCAAATTGCCTTGCAATATTTTTGTAAAGTGGCGATAAGTCAAATTTGGCAGAAATGAAAGGATGGCACCATATCCCTGCTAGGGRGGAGGAGGGGGGAGCTAGTGAACCACACAATCAATTATTCAAGTTTGGCGAAAGTTATTTTTAAAAAGAAAGAAAATTATTATGAAAACCTTACATATGYATATTCACAAGGAAAGAAGCCAAAACTATAGTTACTTACAATAACAAACAATAACAGTGGGGAGGGTGGGGAGGGTATATTTCGACTCCTACTGAAACTGAAAATATAGTGGCATTCGTTTTGTATTTTTAAAGAAATATTGAAATTAAGAAGACTTATACGAATTGYTTTTATTTTCCTTGCTAGATATGGCAACTGGACCTTTCCGCCTTAAGAACGGCAGAAGAAGTCCCAGGATTACGTCAAGTCAAGAGAGACTTCCAAGCTATGATAGTGATGGAGAGAGCCTCGACTCTGATACAGATTCCCTTGCAAGTGAGAACGTAAACCAGATGTTAGACTCAGATTTCTCACCGCGRAGCAGTACGTCAAGTGCAGGTTATTTGTCGCCCTTTGATTTCAACTTCGAGTCTTTTCAGTCCTCTCCGACTGATAAACGTCCAACAAATCTTCTTGAAAAGTCAATAGCTAGTCTTCCTGCGGGATCTGATTTGAAAAACACATTRATTTTTATACGAAAACAAATGAAACAGTGTTTAATGAGACTAAAAGAACTCGAAGAAACAGCTCGTAAYGTTCCCACTTTACACGTACGGATCTCCGTCCTACAAGAAGAAAAACGACAACTTTTGAAACAATTACAAACTAAAATGTCATTGAAAAAGAGTCGTTATKGTTGTAATGACTTGTACTATAGTGCTATAAGACAGCGAGGTTGTAAAAGCGACACAGAGGAYGATGATGATGATGGTTTTTCGTCTGTGAGGCGGAAATTACGCGCGAAGCTTTCTTCGTCAGCAACATCATTGCACGAAATACAAGATGTATATAAATGCGACAATGACAAGACAAGCGAAACAACTGATGTTTCTTATCTTGAACGTACTAAAGACTGCCAACCTAAGATTGATGTAATCAACAGACGTCTAGTAGGGGAGCGCGATCAAAGAAATAAAGTACAGTCCTCGCGAAATATCTCTACTCGTTCCATTGGTGTTGGGATGATGAGGTCGTTTACAAGGGACATTGGAGTAGGAAACTCAATGGCTGTCGTAGAAATGAAGGATGAAGGCAACCAAAATGTACCCATCACGACAACAGTAGCCTGCGATWCTCTAGGAACAGATTGTTGTGATAAAAGCACCATTGCCAAACCTATTCTGAAATCAACTGGTTCACAATCTAACCTTCCATTATGGATTCCCTTTTCACAACCCGACGTTGAGTGTAGTGCGACTCAGACCCCACCCAAACCCACTAAAGTGTCCATAGGGGTGGGTCTTTGTACTGTAGATGATGACTGTTCGTGTCYGTGTGGTATGTCTAAGACTGTCGATGAAATAATGGCCAACAAGATCGTTCTTCCTGTGCTGATATCGAGAGGTGTCGGTGATTTGTCTGTAGAAGACGCGCATTTATGTGATAATTGTTGCCGAACCGTTGCTTGTGAGAGCGAATTAAAGCATAAAACTGTAGGTGTTGGCTCATGCCGAGTAACAGACACATTTTGTACAAATTGTGACACMAAGAAAACTCGTTCGATTGGTACAGGCGATAGAAGCATTCATGACGTCATCGAAATAACTCCACAACCAGCTCCCGACAACCATCGCGCGTTCTGTGAAAATRTAAGCAGGACGATAGGAGTTGGTGATTGTCGTGTGACAGACAATGACTGTCGACGCTGTYTGAATCTACAGACAAAATCTATTGGCGTAGGTTGTGATGAGGTTAATTCATTGCAGAAAAATAAAGACAAATACATCGAAGGATCAGTAACATTTCATATTAATGGTCATTTAGACCCTCAGACATTTGGTATTGATGATAAAAAGCTTCTTGATGATAGTGAGACTGCAAGCAACGGTAGCGCTACATTAACCCATGTGAGTAGCGAGTCACATGATTCTGATGAATCAAGTATTGACCACGACAACCCTAGCAGTGACAGCACAGGACAGATGAGCGAGCCTTCGAATACACCCAATGGTCAGCMGTCAGGTAGTAGGTACGATATGTTCGTTGTTATGGGTAATCACTGCTACTAGTCTTTCATTTAAGAGTAGTTTTATCTTACTGTGGAACATATTCCAAACAAAACCAAACAATGGGCCAAGGGTCTAGATACATCTGCATCTTTTTCGGAAATATTCTCAACAGATCAGTTAAAACATGAAATTTGTATWGATACTGGTAACCATATTCATGTTATCTGTTTCATCATTGAGATTAATTAAATAGTTATTTAACTTCACTGAACTAAGTCCGTGTAATTCAAAAAAGCCAAACTAGAAAGATCTTTTAAACCGATTATTCAATCATGAAAGTCTTCCAATCGAGTAACAAACCTGGAYTTGTTGTTGGCAGTGTTTGTGATTCTGGTGTTGTTGTTTTAAAGGGTAAGTGAGGATGTATTATCAGCCTGCAAACTTCTACATGGTCATCTTTACAACGGAAAAGAAGTTGGAAGAGAGCAGTTGGTAAGACAGAGTACTGATTTCGATTGTGGAAGGAGGACTGTTATAGGAAGGGGGTGGCTAATTAATGGATAGATTTAGGGTTGCGGAAAATGCCCCTTACCACCCTAATCCCCTGGATCCGCCCTTATTGCTATCAGTTTTCAAGCGTCGGGACAGCTGCTAAACAGAAGATCGCACCACTTTTATTAGTACTA